GCCAAAATGTTGGCTTTCCTTGTATCCCTCCTTTTTCTCTAATTTTGGTCTGCAAACTTAGGTTGTTAACCATCCAGAAGACAAGCTTATTGTTATTTGGAACTGGACTTTGGATAGAACTTTAATGTGGCTCCAGGTGAAAGTGTCCCCTCTGAGGAGTGACAAGGTGCTGGAGGGAGGCGTGTTTCCCCACTGTGAGGAAGGCACAGGGGGTCGGGTGAGCTCCTGGAGTTAAGTCCTTGGGCCTGTCTGCCTCAGCGCCTGGGATGGAGCCTCCATGTCCACTTGGGCAGCCCGAGTCTGGCCCCCAAGACGAGATCGTGTGCACCTAGTCAATGTGGGGTTTCCCAGTGAACTATGGAAGAAGCGGCTGCTTATGTCAAACAGTTGAGAAGTTCGCTTTTCTCCCCTTTACAGTCCTTTATTGAATATTGTGCCAGGAGTAGCGGCACACACCTCTAATTCCAGCACTTGGGGGTCTGGGGCAGGAGGGTTGCCAGGAGTTCAAGGCCCTCCCCGTGCCAAAACTCTGTGGGACCCCAAACTCTTCCTCCTGCCGCCATCTGGCCTCGCCCAGCTCCTTTCCTGTCTGGAGCCACACGATTGCTTCATTGGACCCTGAATATGGGTCCTGAGCGCCCTGAGACCCCAAGTCCATCAGAGAAAAGTAGGAAGGGCTCATAGTTACAGGAAGAGGCCAGGTTTTGCTCTGGAAGGCGAACGGTAAGTGTTGCTGAATGCAAATATCCGCCTACGTGAGGGGGCACGGTGCAGAGGCGAAGCGGATGCACGACAGAGAACCCGGCGTAAAACCTCTGCTCAAGCTCAGGTCGATTGCCGCTCCGGTCATTCAAGAGCCAAAAGGTGGAGCCTCGAGGTAACCAATCAGGGGCGTAAGGCGGGGCCTGGAAACCATCCAATCAGCGGGCTCGCCAACATTCTCGCGGGATCCTGGATTCTCGCCGCTGCAAGGTTCCGCGTCTCCGCCACTTCCCGTGGGCGGGGCTGGTCCGCCATTGTGGCTCCTGACCTCTTCAGGCCTCAGGGGCCGCTGGGGAGGACACCGGACTCCAGACACCAGACACCGGATGCCCGGACGCCCGGAGCCGGGAAATGGTGAGCGGGAGCGCAGGGCCTGGTTGGAGCTGGCCGGAAGTGGGACTGACGGGGCTTGCGCTCCCCGCGTCCGCTCCAACATCCGGGGCGCTGCTGGGTCCTTGGTCCCTTCCGCCTCGGGCGGGGCTGGGCCAGCAGCCGAGACCCAGCCTTCTGGGCCGGGACATTGGGAGTCGCGGGAAACCCGATTCCGGGTTGAGGTTTGTGCGTAGGAACAGCTGGGGTCCCTGGAAGCTCCAAGTGCCATCCGTGTCTTTTACATCTTCTAGTGGCACAAACTTGTAATCACAGCGCTGGGGAGGCTGAAGCAGGAAGCTCGCTGAGTTCAAGGGCAGCTTGAAGTTCATAGGGAAGCCCCGTCCCAAAACCAAACATCAAATGCACATCTCTGTCCACTACAGCTCCACCATTCCTAGGGCTGAGAGTAAATTCTTAGACTTGCACTTCCTCTCCGGACCCCCAATGCCTACTCTCCACCTCCGATGCACAACTTTATCAACTGTTTTTCATTGTGCATTTCAAACAGATGCAATGTTTTGGCTATAATGTTTTCAGACCTCAGTGGATGCTTTTATATTTGGGTTTGGAGATAAACTACCTAAGACCCCACTTGAAGAAATCTTCCTGCCTCTCTTTGGTTTGCCTATGTTTTTTAGACAGGGCCTCGATGTGAAGCTCAGGCTGGCCTCATATTTGCAATGATCCTTCTGCTTCAGCCTCCTGAGTGCTGGGATAAAAGGTGTATGGCACCATACCCAGTGTGTTAGTATAGTCTTGTAATCTGCCAACAGTGGATTTATTACTTGTTTTTCCCTCCATTGTTAACACAGAACCTTCAGATGGATGCGGATTACTTTCTACCATCCTGTGCTACATGGTGACGCACTTGTGTAGGACAATGACAGACCTTGTGCAGGACAGTGGCTACTGCAGCTAGGATTTTTTTGGTTCACCATGGCTCCTCCCCGCACAAAAGCCACTGCAGAGGTGACCAGTAAGCGTCCCCGTAGGGTGATTGACCTGGAAACAAAATTAAAACTGATT